TTCATTATGAGTTTATGTCAGCTAAACCTATTGTGTGTTTACCCTGTTGGCCTCTCTCCCCTGCTTCATCATTGTACGGTTGTTTTAAAAATTTTTTTAATGTTTATTTATTTTTGAGAGAGAGAGAGGGAGACAGAGAGACAGACAGAGCACTAGCAGGGGAGGGGCCGAGAGAGAGGAAGACAGAGAATCTGAAACAGGCTGCAGGCTCTGAGCTGTCAGCGCAGAGCCCAATGCAGGGCTTGAACTCGGGAATGGTGAGATCATGACCTAGGCGGAAGTCGGTCGAGTCACTGACTGAGCCACCCAGGTGCCCCCTGTACAGTTGATTTTAAAGACCAAAATGTGGATGTTTAGGTTTACCTATTGTTACGTGAGAATGTCCGCTCCAGCCCTTGGATACTTAGTCTTGCTACATTTGCTGCCCTTCTCAACATTTTCTGACTGGCTTTAACCCATCCAAGTGGCTTTCACTCGTGCATGGTCACTGCCTGGCCCTTTTCCCCCAGAGAGTGGCTGTGGGGGAAATCATAGCATTGATCATTGCTGACATTCTTAGGAAGCACGAGCCTGATTCTTCGGGGGATCCAGATAGGGCTCCCCTGAAAGTTAGAGCTCATGCTTTTCCTTTGCCTTCTTGCTTACATCTCTGTAGGGAAGCGAACCGTGTGGCTCTCATCCATCTGTACACTCAGGACTCTCCCGCGGTCTCAGGGTAGGAGAGAGGTGTAGGCAGAAAACTCCTCAGTCTTCCTGGGAATTGGGGGGTAGAACCTGGGGCTGTTGCAACAAATTACCGCAAACCTGGGGGCTTAATGCAATGCGAATTTACCCTCCGGCAGTTCAGAAGGCTAGAAGTCTACACTCCGCATGCCACCAGGGTGGGTTCCTTCTGGGAGTTCTGAGGGAGGGGCTGTTCCAGGCCTGTGTCCAGCTGCTGCTGGTGGTTGACAGCTCTTGCTGGTCCCTGGCTCGCGGCAGTATCCCTCCAGCCTCCCCCCGTGTCTTCACGTGGCCTTCTCCCCCCCCCCCCCCCGTGTTTCTGTCGCCTTTGTAAGGACACCAGTCATTGGATTTACAACCCACCCTCCATCCAGGATGATCGCATCTCAAGATCTTCATTCGACATAATTTCATCTGCAAAGACCCTGTTTCCAAATAAGATCCCATTCATAGGTGCTGGGGACACATTTTGGGAGGATCTGTAGAATCCAGACAGGAGAGGTGGCCATTCATTGTGATGAGTGAAGTCTCTGCTCAGCTGTTGGTGACAAAGTGGAGTGTGAGGGATGTACTGTTACTCGTATGCCTCCCGGCAAGCGTGTGGGCTTGAGGGGATCCCAGAGCCCCCCGCACATTCTGTGGGCAGGTCCAGGTTCCCGGGGGGACTGAGGGGCCAGAGACACCCCCTCTAGAGACTCTGCTGAGGAAGTGGGCCCAGCCCGGCTGTGAACTTGAGTCACAGAAGATGGGGTCCTGAGTTCATTTCACCTCCCCTCAAACAGATGAAAATCAGTCGTCCTATCCTCCCTCACTGTCCCCCGCCCCCGCCCCGTAGCAGGGCTGGGCTGGCCTGGTTGGCACCTCGGACGGGTCCCAGTTTATGCCCTGGGATTACTTCTTGATCTCTAAAGAGTTGTTGTGGAATCAGCAGATTCTTCATGAAGTTACTGTGTGTTTAAAATTGAGCCCGGTGTAGGGACTCTTGTTTTACTTATTTATTTTTAATGGTTTTGTTTGTTTGAAGGAGAGAGAGAGAGAGAGAGAGAGAGAGAGAGACAGATCATGAGCGGGGGAGGAGCAGAGAGAGAGGGAGACACAGAATTCAAAGCGGGCTCCAGGCTCTGAGCTGCCAGCACAGAGCCCAGTGCGGGGCTTGAACTCACGAACCGTGAGATCATGACCTGAGCCGAAGTCGGACGCTCAACCCGACGGAGCCCCCCGGGCGCCCCTGGACTCTTGTTTTATTTATGAGCCACAGTGTCTACGAGGAATGGTACTACCACAGAATCAATTCTCAGTATGGAAAGCTTGACCCAGTGGTTGGGTTTGTAGACAGTAATTTATGTGATAGAATTCCCGCTCCACCAAAGGATTTGGATAGTCCTGTAGGAGTCCGTGGTAGGAACTCTGGAATTCAGATTTCCCATCATATACAGGTTTTGATGAGAGTTTGAAAGGTGTCTGTTACTTTTCACGGACGTGGTTTCTTGGTCTGGGCCGTGGTACGGCAGGACCGATAAGTGTGTGAGCCAGGAAGGACACCCCCACCAGACCCATGGCCACAGGGAATGCGTTGGCACGTACAGGTCGACTGCTCTTTGAGGTCCATGCAAATCCGATGTAGACACTTACCCATCAGCCTCTAGGTTATACTACGACTGGCCTGCAGGGTGCCGCGACGAACAGCTGCTGTTGGGGACGCTGTGACCGGCAGATGGAGTGTCATCCTGGGACATGTGCTCGGGTGGGCACAGATCTGGGGGAGAATGTACTCACTAGTCCCTGAGCATCTCTAATGACTAGTCTGCAAACAGGGCCTTCTGGAGAGTTGGAGCGAGCAGGCCGAAGTCTACAAAACTCTCCCTTTCCAGAGTGTGTGTAGACGCCAGGCAATCGGTGGGCAGATCCCAGTCATCTCAGGACTTCTCAGAGATGTCCTCTGTGGACACTGGCTGTGGATGAATTCTAATGGGCCATGTCACGGGCACCGTGCCCAGTGCCCGAGGAGAGCTGGTCCCCAAGAAGCCATGCTCCTGCGGTCAACACATGTGCATCCAACCCTGACTGCAGTTAGAGGGGAGGGGTGCCGGGGGGGGGAGCGTTTGCGGCTGGCCCCTGCAATGGGGGCCCTGTGGTTTCTGCCCCGGTGGGCGTGGTTGAGTGTGGGTGTCAGGGGCGCAGCGCGGGGTGGGGGTGTGCGTTGGCAGGACACGTGTCCTTGTCGGATTCACTGAGTCGCCCTCACCCTTGCTGGAATGAGGGAAGCCACGTCGGAGAGGTTGGAGCGTGGAAAGTAAGGCGTTAACGGGAGAGAGAACGTGAGTCCGTGGAGCCAGGGGGCCGACTCGTGTCAGCCCCGTTTCCCCACAGGCGGGGGGAGGGGGCGGTGTGCGAGTGAAGGGCGAAGCAGGGAGGTCGCTTGGGGGGTGGGCGTTGGAAAGGCACCAGGCAGGAATGAAGAAGGGATCTCCGAAACACAAAAGAAGATGAAGACTTTGCAAGCGGGAAGCAGGAAGAGGTGTGGGAACTCACAGCTCAGAAGTTGCGGCAAAGAAAAAAGTTACTGGGTGGCAGTGGGATGACGTTTATGTTAGGGTGCAGTCCCCCATCGCCCCTGCGCTCGTGGGTGCTCAGAGCCCCCCACCCCCCAACCGGGAGGCGGGCGATGTGCCGCGATGACAGGCACGTGATCTGATTCCACCGGATCTGTTCTGGTACCATCCATGGTTGTGAAAATAGAAAATATGTCCCTACCTGCTTCAGTGGGCACAGAAAATTTCTGGAAGGCTCTTTCAGCCCCTGGTAAGAGAGGTCACCTCTGGGGAGCAGGACTCACAGGTTGGACCCCCGGAGAAACTGGGCAGGAGGGCTTGAGTGAGAGCCGTGTTCATGATACTGTTGTCATAATTCCCCCTTTCTTATTGTTTGTCTGCCTCATAAGAAAACAAGTAGCCCTTGCTTAACAAAATCTATCTGTAATGCTGAGAGTCTGGTAAAATCTATTCGCAGAGGATTTATTGAAAGAAAGAAAGACAGAAAGAGGAAGGAAGGGAGGGAGGGAAGGAAGGAAGGGAGAGGGGAAGGAAGGAAGGAAGGAAGGAAACAGGGAGGGAGGAAGAGAGAGAGAAAGGAAGGAGCACGCAAACCCTTATCCTGGAGCTTGGTCAAGGCTGGTAAGGCAGGTTTCACTCAGGACCCACTCCAGTGGGTGTCAGGACACTGCGTGGGGTTTTGTGTAGGGCACAAAGACTGGCCTCAATTCCAGATACAGCAAGGAAAAGTAGGGACTCACAGCCAAGGAGTAGTGGGGGTCCGTGGGTTGGAAATTACTAAGAGGACACACCGGGCTAAGGTCGGTCTGAGTTCTGGCTAAATCGACCTAGCAGGATTCCTGCTGAAGGCCCAGTGGGGCGATGAGACATCCCCTGGGAGATGGCGGGGGACCAGGAGCCCACCAAATATTGAGGGTGATCAGATATCGCAGGGCGGGGGATTCTGGCTGAACCGACCTGGCAGGATTCCTGCGCACTTGGGCAGTGCAGAGGTGGACGTGGAAGTCTACAAGCTGAGGCCCAGTTGGGAAGGTTTAGGGGAACCCGGGGAAATTGGGTCCAGGAGTGACACCGTCAGTTCGCCAAGGAAAACATGGCCACATACATGTGGTGGGGTCCGTGTGAACAGGTTTACAGGGTGACTGCACACAGATGTAGGGGTGTTTTTATGTTGTGTTAAAAAATAGGTCCGTACCAATCTGGAAAGATACATTTCATAATTTGTTGTGTTGTTGTTTTTTAATGTTTGGAACGTCTGTGGAATGGGCCAGGAATCTCATGAGAAACTATCAGATTGTAGGAGCAACAGCTGTTCTGGTTATTGTTGTCTCTGATGGAGGAGAGAGAACCCGGAAGGAGCATAACATTTTCGTGGCCCATCTTCGCCGTCGCACAGTTTTCACAATCTGGTGTTTCTAAGCTCACCGCTCCAGTGAAAACAGCTGCGTGCTGAAGTGGCTGGATAGGATTTAAGAAGTACCGGTGGTTGGTCGGGGGGCCAGTGTAGACATGTCCGAATCCAGGAGAGCGTGGGTGGCCCGGTGAGGGGTGGGCAGGTGTGGGAGGAAGTAGGGACGGGGCTCATCTGCAGGGGAACCAAGAGAAATGGCAGCGTCCTAATGAACGAGACGAGGTAATGTCATTGCACGTCGATTTCCATCGTCACCCGCGTCGCGTGATTTCACAGTCCCGGGTGGTAAAAGTCTCCGTTTATTTTATTCACAGGTTGTACTCCGACTATCTCTACTTTGCAAGTTCGAATAAATCTGCTGATGACTTCCACGAGAAAGTGACAGAAGCTCTGCAGCTGTTTGAGAATTGCATGCTCGATTATTCCCTGCGTGCCTGCGTCTACAACAACACCCTCAACAATGCCATGCCTGTGCGTATCCTGGAAGCCGGCCCCCTTACAGAGCAGGCCACTTGGTGGTTATTATGCAGGTGGCACGGTAGATGGGATTTTAGCATATAAACGCAGAGAAGCATTTTAATGTGCAACTGCCTCTCCCCATGCCTCTGAGCCGCGGTGGCTAGTGCACAAACAAGTACGCACGGGCATAAAAATTGTAGAAAGCCTGGGCCCTTTCAGCTGGCACCAGGCTCTCTTCCCTGCTCATCTCCCCATTACAATGCTCTCTCCTCTCCCTGCAGAGAATGAGGGTACATTTAGGGAGATTGCCATTCAGTGAGGCTGCAAAAACCCACCCCGCAATTAGGATTGGCAGACGCGGGGACCCAGCTCTCGAATCGTCTTAAGCATCGTTCCCTGATCGATGGCGGATTGTTTTGGTGGTTTAACGAATCACCCACCGGTGACTTTCAGCATTCCTGCGACAGGGCCTAAATGGAAAACTATCTCCCGTTGATCTCTCTTTTGCTTTTCTCTTACTTGCCTTCAGGAATGTGGCTGTACATTTCTTGCCTTTTTTTTTTTTTTTTTTTTTTTTTTTTTTTTTTTTAATGCAGAAGAAGCTGTTGGTGGTGAATTCAGCACCCTTCAGCTGGGGGTGGCTTTCTACCGCATAGCACCCTGGGTTGTCTGCCTTTTCAGCAGATTGGTGCTGCCGGAGAGCCTAACACAGTGAAGCTGGTGCTGCCCCCGTCCCGGGGCGTGGTTCACCACTGCTCTGCGGAGCGTAGCATGTGGGACGGCACAGACCGATGTGCTCGAGGTGGAGGCTGGGAACCCCCTGGGCGTGGGGTGCTCGGGGTCAAGAGGTTTCCCTCCCTCTTCCTTGTTCTCAAGGCCGTCGTATCTGGAACGCAGGGTCCTGGTTCCGGCAGGATGCACAGAGGCAGCAGGTTGGATTGAGGCTGGAGTTTTCAGTGTGTCAGAGAAGATGCGGACAGGGGCACAGATAAACCTAGAATCTGCCCAGCGGCACAGGGTAGAGGAATGGCCTTTGGAGCCAGACAGAGGGGTGGGTTCGCTTCCCAGCTGGGGCGTTTACTAAGCTGTGTGACTCTGGACAGTCGTTTTAGCTTCTCTGAGATGCCATTGCTTCGTCCTCAAATCAGGTAATAAGACTGCCGTTCCAGGCTGTTGTGAGGGTCAGTGATAGTTCCCTCATGCGTAGGGGAGAAATGAAGAACCCTTGTCCTGCAGCCTTGTCCTTGTCCTGCAGCCTTGTCCTTGTCCTTGTCCTTGTCCTTGTCCTGCAGCCATCTTAGAGTTGCCGGTCCGGGCCCTGCGAATTAGACCGACAAAAGACAAATTAACAAGAGAGAGAAAAACCACAAGTTTATTAACATGTGTGTTGCACCCGTGCGTGATGAGTAGCTCAGAGGGACGGTTAGAACTCAGGCTTGTGTAACATCCCGACAGGAGAAAAGGACATTTCTAGAGAGGTGACCAGACAAAGCGAGAGGACTTTGAGTTTCTAGGGCAGCAAATCCTGGGAAGGCAGGTAAACGTATGGGGGAGCTAATGGTTGATAAGGGCTAGTTTTATTGAGGTTTGTTACGTCACATCTTCTGATGCTGTCTTAAGGCTGATAAAGGCCTAGGGTTGTCTCCAGTGATTAATTTGGTCCGTCCTGGTGGAGAGGGGAGGAAGGGCACCCTGACAAATTTGTGTACGGCTTGGAGGCAAATAGGGTGAGGGCGGAGGCTTTTCTTATGTTTGTGTTTCTTCTCAGTTGCCTTGGGCTCAAAATAATCCTCATGCCAAAGTGGTATATTTCGGGGCAGCGTGTTCTGCCTCCCTGCACGTGCATTCGTCATTCGACCGTGTCTGTGCATGGCACATGGGCTGGGAGGGCAGCCGTGACAGGACAGGCCTGGTCCTTGTGTCCCCGGGCAGTCCCAGTCCTGGCAGCGAGAGTGACCTAGCGGCTGGGGCAGGAGCCCTGGCTCCCAGCAGAGGCCACCTGAACACAAGGCACCAGGGGAACGTCTAGGAAAGGCAGTGTTTGTGCCGAGGCCTGAAGGATGACGGGCTGGGGACGTGGAGGTGGTGATCTGTCCAGGTGCAGGGAGCAGCTCGGGCAGAGGCCGAAGAGTTAAGCACGGAGAGCGTTTGCTACAGCTGGGCGCAGCACATGGCTGCATGGGTGGTGGGGCGATGGTAAGAGGGGGGTGTGAGCCTTGGAAGTCTGGCCTGACATGGGTCCCCAGGGAGGGTTTAACAGTCGTAGCAAATCTGTGTTTCAGAAAGATGCCCGATGTATGGCGCCCAGGGCTGGCGGGGTGTCTCCCAGAGACAGGGAGGCCGGGGTGGGGGTGGGGTGGGGTTTCTGTAAGAGGACTGGGGGCTGAGTCAGGGTAGGAGACGGTGGAAGTTTCTAGAAACAATTAGGAGGACTAGTGGAAAGGACGTGGACAGGGGTTGGACTGGATCGGATCAAGCGGTGGGATGATGGGGAAGCCACGTGTTTGCTGGCCGGCAGGCCGAGTGCAGCATTTGCTTCAAAATGGCTCTGGTTCTTAGCTGTTGCTTTTTAGTATGATTGCTCATGACCGTGAGGGTCATCTGTGCAGGGTCTGCAGGAGAGAAGAGCCACTACCTGGAGACATTTCTTGAAACTTCCTAGGTGTGGCGTGGTTTGGGGACTGGCTTCATTCACAGCTGAGACTTGATTCATCTCCAAGGGCATACAGTGGGTGCCGACTCTGTGCTCAGCACGGTGCTCAGTGCTGGAAGAAGCACGGCCATGGGGTGACCTGGAAGGGAGAGGGAGGGGGCGGGAGGCAGAACAGGGAGAGTTGAGGTGATGCGTCCAGCTGGTGTGGTTCAGAGAAGGTGCTGGAACCGTCCTCTTCCAGGCCGTGTTACTACTGAGTTCTCTCTTCAAGAGGTTATGTGGCAGGTGCTCTGAAAGGGAGGGATAGGTGAGGGCTTTGCTTCGGGGGCCTTCTACAAGGGAGCGCCCCAAGCTGGCTGGATTTGGAAGGGCAGGGCGAGGCAGGGCCGGGCAGAGCTCCTGACTGTGAGGGTACGGCTTATTTCAGTGGCATTTCAGTGGCTTCACGTCGTGTTTCTGTCCCAGAAGAGTGAGTGTCTGACGTACACGTGCAGTCTGAACCCGGGGCCCGCTGCACCGCCCAGAGCTCACCGGGTCAGCGCCTCGGCACAGTCAGGGCCACGGGGACAGAGCTGGCCGGATGCAGGTCTCACCTGCCTTCGAATAGGTTTCTAGGAGGCGGGATTTCCACAGCCACTTTGTCCCACAGACAAGAAAGGGGTGCCCTCCCCTCCGCTGCCCTGTTGGCCTCCAGCTGGGAGCACTGAAACACGGTAGACACCGGGTGATCAGTACACAGGAGTCGTCATGGGCCTCCACTTTGGGGTGTGCTGGAAATTCTTCCTGATCACAAGCCTTTGCCAGTGAGAGAGGGACGATGGGATCCGAGCTTTGTTCGCCGCTGATTCTGCGGCGCAGTCTTGAGCTCTTCGTGTTCTGTCGTCCGTGCTGCCCTGAAATCCATGCCCATTTTACAGATGAGGACACTGAGGTTCACAGACATGGACGCTCACACCCAGAGACATAGAGCGGGTAACAGGCCTAGGGTTCATCCCAGGTCCTGCGGCCTTTCGTACTCATGGCATTCCCTCCTTTCCCTGGCTAGCTCCTAAGAGCACAGGTCTGAACTGGCTTTTTCATTCCATCTCATGTTTTGCTGAGGATGGCGAGGGGGTGGCTGAGCCGACACCTTAGGTCAGAGAGAGGTGTCCAGGGGCAGGATCGGTCGACAGGATGGGGTGGGGGGGCGTCACAGACGGCAGACTGGCCGTGACCCTTCAGCCCCTTGCTCACCAGGAAGAGCCAGGCAGTGAGGAGCAGTTGGAAACCCTCCTCTTGGGCGCGAACCTTCAATTCTGGGGTGAGGGACGCAAATCTCCCTCCAGCTGTGAGTCCCAGCTCAGCCACGGTGCAGGGAGGGAGAGCTTTTTCAAACATCTGCGGACCCTGGTGCTACCCTTCCTAAGACATCCCCTGCCTTCCAGCAGCATTGGAGTGCACCAGCCGGTCCCCGCCTCCTTCTCCACCTCCTCCCAGCCGCCCCCTCTCTGTCACTGCTCTCTGCAGCTACACTCTCTCCTGTTAGGTCCTCCGGCCAGCCTCTCGCCTGGGATCGGGAGTTCGCGAAGCAGCGTTCTGGCAGCGTCAGCATCCGCGGGGATCTTGTCAGCAGTGGGACCCTCAGGCTCAGCCCCGGCCCACAGAAGACAGCAGCTCGGGGGGGGGGGG